TGGAGACAGAGTCTCACTCTGTTGCGCCAGGCTAGAGTGAGTGCCGTGGCGTCAGCCTCGCTCACAGCAACCTCAAACTCCTGGGCTCAAGCAGTCCTGCTGCCTCAGCCTCCCGAGTAGCTGGGACTACAGGCATGTGCCCACATGCCCGGCTAATTTTTTCTATATAATTAGTTGGCCAATTAATTTCTTTCTATTTTTATAGTAGAGATGGGGTCTCGCTCTTGCTCAGGCTAGTTTCGAACTCCTGAGCTTGAGTGATCCGCCCGCCTTGGCCTCCAGAGTGCTAGGTTACAGGCGTGAGCCACCTCGCCCGGCCTCTTATTTATTCTTGCTTTTCTTTTGGGATAGTTTTGGTGTGTTTGTTTTAGGGTCCTTGAGGATTTTGTGTTTTATGAAGGCTGTGATATTCATAATCATATAAGATAATGATGACTGTTTGATCCATACATTTCAAGCTTTGTACAATGTGTTTACTGAATTGCCACAGAGGCAATTTTCCTAAAAGTATAGCTGCTTTGAAATGAATTCATTGTGTTTTCTGCAAGGGTGATAACCACATCCTCACACTTTCCCAGGGTTCTTCGCTGTCCACGAATCCTGTTCAGTTTACTTATGAGAAGATACTATGAAAGTTTAGTAAGAAAGAGGAAGGCAGTACATATGATAGCAATACGTCTGTTAATTCATTCAGTAGATTTTAAATGTCTGCTATGTGCCAGATACTATGCTAGATGCACAAGATGTGAATGAGGTGGGATAAGATGGAGGATTAAGTGGATATTTCTGTTTCTCAGAGACATAAGCAGAAGCTTTAATTATATTACTTCAAATGTTTTGTTGAGGGATTTAGTCCTAGGAATGTTATTAGTAACCATTCTTCTGATGCTTTCATTAGACTCTGGGTTCTCTTTTGTTTTGAAGGGATCCAAGTGCTAAGAGATCAGCTGGATTCGTCCCTTCTTGGCGACATATCCAAAGTTCACAGCAGTAGCATCCTTGGATAGGCATGCATCACCATGCCCGGCTAATTTTTTCTACATATATTAGTTGGCCAATTAATTTCTTTATATTAGAGACGGGATCTTGCTCTTGCTCAGGTTGGTTTCGAACTCCTGACCTTGAGCAATCCGCCCACCTTGGCCTCCCAGAGTGCTAGGATTACAGGTGTTGTTTTTTTGAGACAGAGTCTCACTGTGTTGCCCAGGTTAGAGTGCCGTGGCGTCAGCCTAGCTCACAGTAACCTCAGATTCCTGGGCTCAAGTGATCCTTCTGCCTCAGCCTCCCGAGTAGCTGGAACTACAGGCACGCGCCACTATGCCTGGCTAATTTTTTCTATATATTTTTAGTTGGCCAATTAACTTGTTTCTATTTTTAGTTGAGACGGACTGTCTCGCTCTTGCTCAGGCTGGTTTCAAACTCCTGACCTTGAGTGATCCACCCACCTCGGCCTCCCAGAGTGCTAGGATTACAGGCATGAGTCACCACACCTGGCCCACATAACCAGCATTTTTTTAAAAAGTAAAATGAGGCCGGACATGGTGGCTCACACCTGTAATCCTAGCACTCTGGGAGGCCAAGGCGGGAGGATCATTTGAGCTCAGGAGTTTGAGACCAGCCTGAGCAAGAGGGAGATCCGGTCTGTTCTAAAAAAATAGAAAGAAATTAGCTGGACAACTAAAAAAATATATATCAGAAAATATTAGCTAGGCACGGTTGTGCATGACTGTAGTTCCAGTTGCTGGGGAGGCTGAGGCAGAAGGATCGCTTGAGCCCAGGAGTTTGAGGTTGCTTTGAGCTGGGCTGACACCACGGCACTCTAGCCCTGGCAGCAGAGTGAAACTCTTTCTCAAAAAAAAAAAAAAAGTAAAATGAAGTCATGATATATATATTATTCTCTCACTCTATTTTTTACTTATTGTGGACATCCTTCTAGATCTATTTATATCCATCTATGAACACTTATAAAGTTGAGTTTTTACTCGTGTGGCCCTTTTACAAACTCATTAAAGAGATAATGGAAATTCATGCTTGAAGCTCCCCAGTAAGTCCCAGTGACAGCACCTGGTAGAGAGTGCTCCTTAATGGTTGATAACATGAATACTGAATTTAACCTACTTGACTTTAATTCAGCTCCACCATTTCCCACCCGTGTTACCTTGGGCAAATTATTTATCCTCTTTGTGACTCAGTTTCCTATTTCTAAAATGGGGGTGATAATAGTTATCTACTTCATAGGTTATGAGAATTAAATGAAATAATATATGTAAAAGTGCTTAAAATTGTTCCTGGCACATAGTAAATGCTCAACAAATGTTCAGTGCCATATTATTGTTACTATGAAGCACTCAATAAATATTTGTTTTTATTGTTATTATTATTACTGATCCAAGTCTGCCCTGAATTTGATATGGAGAGTGCTATCCATAACATGAACTCCAATTTGAAGGCAAGAGTACCAAAGGAGAAGCATCACAGTGGCCATAAATTCAGGTGGTGCTTAGTCTTGGAAATGTGGTGACTTATCGTTTCTCTTGCTTGTATTCCAGGTGGAGAATTATCTTCTAAAAGTGAACTGGATGAATTACAGGAAGAGGTGGCCAGGAGGGCCCAGGAACAGGAACTTCGAAGGAAACGGGAAAAGGAATTAGAGGCAGCTAAAGGGTTTAACCCTCATCCCAGCCGCTTCATGGACTTGGATGAACTGCAGAATCAGGGTAATTGTTGTGTGCATTAGGTTGTGGGTAATTGGGACAGAGATAAAGGGTAGAAAAAAAGATCCAAGCTTCCATATTCCTTGTCTTCTCTTTAGCAGTTAAATTTTATCTTAATTCAGCCATTCCAGTAAGAGCTAGTTAAAGTATAAGGAGACAAGCCTATTGATTGGAGATAGGCACTGATTTGAGGGCACATCTATTAAAAGCCTATAGATTAGACACAGTATATCATTCATGGAAAATGTTTCCCTTGAACATCTGTAGAAAGTATAAAAATTAATCTCAACTGAGAAGCAGCAGAAAAGGGCAGGGAGCCACACTGATAGTACCGGGAATTCTACTTGCTGGGAAGAAACATGCCCTCAAGATATTCCACCTGGAGCTTCAGGGGAGTGGGTCTGCCAAACAGGAGCAAGAACACAAAGCCTAATTTCCTTCTGATGCCATCTGATACGATCAGGATTCATTCCTGAATCTCATACGATTTTCATGGCCTTTAACTTAAGCTTCCCCAACTGCCTCATGTTAGACACTTCTTTTTATCCTAGAATTTCATTAGGATGTTCCCTATACCAAGAGAGACTAGCTTTCAAACTAGGAGTTCAGCAAGGCTGAGGTATCTACCTTAAATAGGCTGTGAAACCTATATCTCAGTTTTTCCTTCTATAGAATGAATTTATCACTCTTGTTATTCAGAATCTCCAGTTATAACAAATTGTGCTAAAGCAGTATATAGGATAGGACTCTATGCTATTTGGGTGGCTGCTACCTGTAGACCACTTCTCATTTTATAAACACTTGGGCCGGGCGTGGTGGCTCACACCTATAATCCTAGCACTCTGGGAGGCTGAGGCAGGCGGATCGCTCAAGGTTAGGAGTTCGAAACCAGCCTGAGCAAGAGCGAGACCCGGTCTCTACTAAAAAATAGAAATAAATTAATTGGCCAATTAAAAATATATAGAAAAAATTAGGCCGGGCGTGGTGGCTCACGCCTGTAATCCTAGCACTCTGGGAGGCCGAGGCAGGCGGATTGCTTGAGGTCAGGAGTTCGAAACCAGCCTGAGCAAGTTTTTAATCAGCAGCTGGAGGGTGGGGGTGAGGGTGTGTGTGTGTGTGTGCACGGGCATGTGGTATTAGTTAAGTCTTGATTTTAGGCAAATGCTAAATCTTACCTCCTCTTCCATACTTGTTCTTTGTTCGGGATAGCTAAAGAATTTATACCAGATGACTAAGCAAGCCACCTGCTTATGACATTAAAAGTAGTGGACCAAGCCCCCAGTACAAGCCCTGGGGCCCAGCACGGTCAGGCTCTCACCTTTTAGAGCAACACCCTCGTTTAATCCAGCGAATGGAATCTGGCTATGAGAGCAGTGAGAGGAACAGCAGCAGCCCTGTCAGCCTGGATGCAGCCTTGCCCGAGACTCGAATGTCTGCAGGTATTGTTTGGCCTTTGAATAGAGGCATTGTCCTTCACAGCAATGTAAGCCACTGCTTGGGGCTTTCAACCATGACTTAGACAAGTGGAGGCGTGGGCTTTATTACCGTCTCTCTATGTGTTCTTTCAACTTTCTGTAGCAACAGCACCCTCTGCTGGTAGGAAGAGCAAAGGCACTTGAGAAAGGGAGAGAACTTTAAAGGACAGTACTATGTATAACATAATTGTTTTGCTTCAGCAGTTCATATACTAAAATTGGAATGATAGAAGATTAGCATGGCCCCTGCTCAAGGATGACATGAAAATTTATGAAGTGTTCCATATTTTTCAGATGTGTAGGATGAACAAGTCTGGAGATCTAATGTAAAACGTTGAGGACTATAGTTAATAAAATTGTACTGTATATGGGATTCATGCTGAATGAGTAGATTTTAACTGCTCTTGCCATGCAGAAAAAATGGGTAACTATGTGAGATGATGGATATATTAATCTGCTTCACTAAGTAACCTTTTTTCTATCTACATGTATCTCATAACATTGTGTTGTATACCTTAAAAATATACAAATTTTATTTAAAAATTGTTAGTAAATAACTTCTAATGAAAGAGTAAAGTTGTGAATTAAAACTTTATAATCTATGATAATCTTTTTTTTTTTTTTTGGAGACAGAGTTCACTCTGTTGCCCAGGCTAGAGTGAGTGCCTGGCGTCAGCCTCGCTCACAGCAACCTCAAACTCCTGGGCTCAAGCATCCTGCTGCCTCAGCCTCCCGAGT